AACTCTACTCTGGGAAAAATTTTGACCGTTTTTTGATGTAATTAAGCAACTTAACATTTCGGTTATTGCCACTTAAGTGAAAATTATCTTTGCGTTACTGAATATCGACAAAACTAATTGAGAGAATTGATTAGTATTACTCTAATATCTTGGATATAGATAGAATGGCTAATTGTGATTTTTAGTTAAGCGAGATAAAATTCGTAAAAGATTAGAGTTACGAACAATCTAAATAATTCGATTACTAATTGTGGGCCCCAAAATGGGTTGTAACTGACTTTTTTTCCCCAGAGTAACCATAAAAATTATTCAGTCTAGTAAAGTCAAAAATGGCAACGGATAAGGCGCGCATCCGACGCTGCGCTCTTTACGAATTCCAACAAGGAACAAATGCTGTAAGAGCGCGCGAATCGATTTGTTCCTCTCTCGGCGAAGGTGTTGTATCGTACGATGTGTGCGCATTTTGGTTTAGACGGTCTAAAAGCGGCGATTTCAGAGTAACAAACAACGCATCCTCGGAAATGCGGCAATGACGAAACAATATAAATGCCTACCGAACGGATTCATAACCGTCTTTCGATCGGTTGACAAGTTTTCCACGTTTATTTTGCCACGCACGGGAACCAAAAGTGTGCACTTATTCGGTGACTTTGATAAGGATATACCGGAATAAAAATTTCCTCCAAGCCCTCTGTACGCAGAGTAACGTAAAGAGAAATGTGAACTTTAGGGTCTATCTGGAAGAGATAATTACGCGAGATGTTGAATTCGTTATTGTCGCGATCAAGGAAACGCGTTACGCATAATTTCTCCTTTGCAGGCGTCTGAAGCGAGGCGGATAAAAGAATAACTTGCGCCCTGGATAATTGCTAATGGCCACGAAAATATGATATCTCATTCTCCTTGCCATTACAATTATGCTTTGTTCCCCGTCTGTCTCGGTCTTCACTCCGATACCGCGAGAGCTGTTCGACGTCAATCCAGCGATTTAATGATGATATCATGTTGCATAATCCGATGTGTATTTACACTGCGTGCTGTGGAAAATCGCTTTTATATCACGCTTGGCGTATAATTCGACATCCTGCGCGAGCAAAGTTGATCCCTTAACAAGATTTTGTTTTAATAATTATCCCACACTCAGGGATAGCGCGACGCGGGCGCGTCGAGATTTAAATTTTAGCCGTGATCTGCAATTTCTGATCCTTAAAATTTGTATGCCGTATATCGCGGCTGCATTTTGTTGCGAGTAGTTTATGCTCTAATACGATTGCCGCGCGACGAAACTGCATTTTCCAATTCGCATGCCACGCGAGTCTGGACCGGGGGGCGGTGAAACGGTAGATAAAAGGATTCGCGCGCGAAACTTAATAAATTAATCCCGTAAACATGGAGAATCGCGTTCCGCCGGCTATTTCGTGCGTGCATCATGAACACGTGCACGCGTCCGCGACGAGGCGAGGGCGGGATGCGATACGTGTTCGCGGCTTTGGCGGTGCAAGTCCCGCGGAAAATATCAGTGTGCACAGCCCGCCCCCCTGCCCTGCCCTCCCTCCCTCCCTCCTTCGCGTGATATATTTACTTAATAAACGTTCCGAACGGCAGGGAAATTTAAATTAAATTTATTCAGTGAAAACAGCGCGTAGGCACGGGGGCAATGCCGCAGCATTGTTTGCGAGCGAACGAAATGCGCGGAGAGCCGGGTGGGAGAGAGAGAGAGAGAGAGAGCAAGTGAATGGGGATTGAGGTGACCAGAAAGGACAAATGGACACGGCGAAAGGGAAGACAGTTAAGGTAGCGCGAGCGGTTAAGGTAGAGTGAAACGGACGGTGGCGAATGGAAAGGCGGGCGCGGAAGGAGCGTGGAGATAAAGCGCGAGGGATGAGGAGGGCGGCGAAAGAGCTGCGAAAGTACGTACTGTTAAAACGAAGTGAAAAGCTCCAGAGGGATGGCGCGGCGCGTCTGAGTGACGGCGGGCCGTTGATTCGGCCGTGGAAGGGGGAAAAAAACGTGAAAATATGCTCTCGGCACGCTTTTCGTACGACGGAAATGTGTCAAATTCGCGCGTGCTCCGTCCGCCGTGTACGTTCGAGCTTCGGCGGTGCCGTCGCGTCGGCGAGGATCGGCGATGATGGCGCGCGCCGGGACAGAGGGGGTGCGGGTAACGACAAAAAAAATATTCGTCCGCGTTTCATTTCGCTCGCGCGCGCCCCCCACCGCGGGGGCGCGCGCGGCCGCTCGCCGCCCGGGGGTCGCCCGTTGTTTTCGTATTATCCGGAATTCTTCCGGTGTCAATGGCCCGTAATTCGAGCAAACAACGACCAGCTAAACGGCTCACGACTGTCCGGCCCGTTCATAAATTCGCGCGGCTCTCTTTTATTGCTATCGCGATATCGCAGCTTCGCAAGCTGCGCGACTGCGTGACGCGCGATCGAGCGCGCCCCGGCCCTCCGCGCCTCGCATACCGCGGCGAGAAATTTTTATTGTTGCTTCTCCGCAAGTTGTTTGCTCAATTACTCGCGCGCGGAATGCCAAATGAAGTTACAAAAATATCGCGATAAAACCCTTTTTTGCAGTTCCTGTGTATAACCGCGGAATTTTTATCACGAGACCAGGCAACGCGCTTTTTTTTTTTAAGTGGTGCCAACAATAAGAAAGAGGATTTACCGTTGTTACGCAAGTTTTCATCCTGTTATACATAAAAAAAAGAAGAAAAAACAAAGTGGCGGTATATCTTAAGTTCTTGTTACATTTGCAGACTTTAAGTTGGCCGAGCCGAGGTGGATGCTGGCGTTAACGTTCGCCTCAAATTGCTGCTTTCACACGTCGCTCGTTTCTTGAAAATTAGCATGTTGATTAAAATTCGACTTGAAAGTCGCTTTGAAACGTGAAACCGGGCCGTAAGTTTCTCGGGTAGAAAACGCGTGGAAGCGAGAGCCGTCGATGCCGGGGCGTGGACAAAGTGGTCATATTTCGCACAAGTGTCCCATGTCTACCCTTTTGTCTTTTCCCTAGCGGCAACCGTTGAAAGCAGCTTGCTGTAAGCGGATATTCTATTTAAGAAAAAAAGTCGGAAGCGCGCTTGTTCCTTGCCGTTGTATAAAACGGCTTATCGACCGGCTGTCCTCCTTCACTGCACAGATCCACTTCGTTTGAATATGCAAACTAATTTATTTCTATACCCTCTTTTCTCGGATCGGGCAATATATAAATACGATCTTCTAAAGTACTTTATTTAGCGGAAGAAAGGCACGGCCGAAATCGCCAAGAGGATCGTGCGCGACGTAAGTGTGTGCCTGCAGACTGCTTTGCATAAATTCGGTCTGAGCGCGACGACGCCGCATTTATGACGTGGGCAACGTCGTTTTCGAGAGAATCGTCGCCGCCGGCGGAGAAACTCCTCATGGAAAATCACGTTGAAGTTTGAAAAATTCGATGGCACGCTCGAAACAGACTGAAGCTCACTCGGGGGAGCGCCGGGTGGACGGCTGCAATTGCTCACGGAACGTATCTTCCTCCTCCCGAGCACCGCGAACAGATTGTCAGAAACCGTCGGATCGTTCGTTAAAGCGAAAAATCACGTGCGCGAGATTTACTTCGATTTCATATTTTTTCGATTGCATCGTCCGTCGGCGCCGTTTCCAAATGTTGATTTATCGTCAAATAAACTTTGCTACTCGTGACTAAACGCCAGGAAATAAATATCTATCGTACTGAATTTTTGAGGGGATAAGGCTTTCTTTTAGATCCATCCGACGAAAAGAAGGCGATGCTCTTCAACTTTCGACCGCCGTAGATATCTGCCTCAAGTATCTGTCGCAATGAATTTAAATTGTCACAAATTCGCACATTAATGCAAATTCCTATCGTAAATATTGAAGAAATTCAAAGCAATTTTCTTTCAACTCGACCTTAATTGCTGCTTAACTCGTCAAGTTCGCATCAAGTACATGGTCTTAATCATTAAGGCATACCATTCAAATTCATTCTACTTAGTTTGTGGAACTGTGCTCGTTTCATTTCTAGTCTTTACATCTGCCTTTCTATTTTCGCGAATGTAAAAGTAAATTATAGAAATTTATTCATTTCGAGTGCACTTTATGCGTTTTGCCTCAAAATTCCACTTGAAATTTTTTCAATGTAACAACGTTGCGAATTTACCAACATTTTTAACATGTTCGTGTATAATGTTACTATGTAACATTGTCAATAGAAAACCGGATCTATTAACTGCGTTTAAACAACCAAAATATTATTAGGGGATTATTTTTCGTTACCGTTTAAAATAACAATTGTTTTTTAAGAATATCCTTTATTAATTCATCAAGTATTTTCTAAACAATTCTTGAATAAAGATTTAATTTAAAACTTTGCTTTCGGATTTAACAAGTAGAGGCCGAAATGCCATCGCATGGAAAATTCCGATTTTACTGACTTGTAATGATAGACGATTCATGATTAACGATGGCTCTGTCAGAATTATACAATCTTCCTAAATCTGTTTCTTAAAGGATATTAATGCAATCACGCCGTTTAACAAATACGACGAGCGGCTATTTGGAATTACACTTATCAATGATACGTAATGAGTACATCGCTGATTAAATGATGTAAAATTCGCTGCACCTGTCTCGTATAACCCGCGCATATTGCGGGAGATAACAATAAAGAGCAATTTATCTCTTTTATCTATGGCTCTTGAAAAGCCATGTAGTTTGTATGATGTACCTTATTGCGGATTACAATAAATTTCAGGAAGCACATTATGAACCTCTAATGAAGATTATGTATCGAGGCTAAAGATAAACTGAGGAAATCCGACCTAACAATTCTACCTGAAAACCCGATGTTGCGCGGTTATAGTTGACACGCGAGATTATGGAGGCATCTCGTAAATTGCTCTACGGGCAACCCGTTCGCGCTATTATGCTCCCTGAGTAGTAATTGCGTATAGTCCGTTATAACTCGCTCTTTTGACCGCCAACGTGTTTTCTGAAGCTATAAAAGACGGGCAACTACGCGATTTTTTCCCCAGTGTTAAAATGTGGCCCAGCAAGTTCGTGTTTTGTGCGTTTGCGATCATATGGGCCAGAGCCGAGCAAGACGTTCAATTGGAAATTCCTCAGGGATTTCTAAAGGGTATAAAGACTAATACAGTGCTACAGAACAGAGCATTCTACAGCTTTAAAGGGATACCCTACGCGAGGCCCAATGTTGGCCTTAATAAATTCCAGGTAAGTTTGATTACCAGATACACTGCATCTATATGCATATACATGCGTTGTGTTACACACACACGTATATTTTTTAACAGACTATTTCTACATGTAAAATTCAAGTTTGAGTGAAAGAGGAGCAGTAAATAAATATTTCGAGCGTTTTTAATTTTCTTTTTGAGATGCCGGAGCCAGCGGACAACTGGGAAGGCACATACGACGCGACCTACCATCGCTCGTCTTGTCCTTTCTTCTGCATGATACAGCAAGATATAGTTGGCGAGGAAGATTGTCTTTTTCTTAACGTTTACACTCCGGTATTGGACAAAGAAGCTTGCAAAGCTGTTATGGTATGGTTCCACGGCGGTAATTTCAATCATGGTCTTGGAGACGATACATTCTTTGGCCCTGACTTTTTAATCGAGCAAGACGTTATTCTGGTGACGCTCAATTACAGACTGGGCGCAATCGGTAAGGCCGCTTCCGTTCAAATGACTTTCCGATCGTTAAAATTGGAGCCGTGTACAATTATTGAATTGTAGGATTTTTAAATACTCGCGACAAGAACGCACCTGGCAACGCTGGTCTAAAGGATCAGGTAATGGCGCTGAAATGGGTCAAGGACAATATACATTACTTCGGCGGCTGCCCCAACCGGATTACGATCTCCGGCGGGGACGCGGGCGCAAGTTCCGTCCAGTTTCACATGATGTCTCCTATGTCCGACGGTGAGTCGGACGCAATTTGCTCGATCACTCGATCGAAATAAACTTTCGTCGCTTTCACACCAGCGTGAAATACAACGCGATTTCTCGTGCCACACAGGATTGTTCAATAAGGTAATCTTGCAAAGCGGAAGCGCGGTGAATACATGGGCGATATCTTACGACGCCCGAGATGTAGCCTTCAAGCTGGGCGAGAAGCTCGACATTGATACTACCGATTCCGCCGAGCTGGTTGCCCGACTCGCGGAATTCTCTCCGAAAGAATTGATTGCGGCCAGTGACGATTTGCCGTTCCTTAAACAGGTATAATTCGCCGTTCGCATTTAATTGAGCGTATTATTTTCTCGTCGCATTCATCGAAGTTTGCGGTACAAACGCCCAAGGCGAACGTTACGCTAACGAGCATTGAATCGCCGATAATATCATCCCGATCGTGTCATTCCAGAGCGCTATGAACGGCCGCACAGAAGCATTTATTCCAGCGGTCGAGGCTGACGTAGGACAAGAGATATTTCTGCCCGCCGATCCCTGGACGCTTTTGAAATCTGGAAGAATTGCCGATGTGCCCGTTATGGCCGGATTCACGGCCGATGAGTCCTCTTTCTACGTGCAGAGTAATCACCGATACGATATTACGCGGGAGTCACATGCTCGGCGTCATGTAAACGATATGAAAACGTTTGTTTCCAGTGATGCTCGGCAATATCGACCAGATAAACGAGCACTTCGAGAACTTCCTGCCGAACGACTTGAATATAACCGATGCCGGGCAGAAGAACCAACTAGGCGATAGCCTGAAGAGCTACTACTTCGAGGATAAATTGATCTCCACGGAAACCACGAAAGAGCTCATGAAGGTGAGTACTTAGCGTTAATATCGGTCCCGCTATCGCGAAACTTGATGTAAGCAGGGTATAAGTTTAACGATGTGCATATTAAAGTTGTTTGTGCATTTTAGATGTTGGACGACGTCATGTTTGACGCCGGGATCGCGCTCAGTTTAGAGGTATTAAGCACCCGAATTTCGTCTCCAATTTACCAGTACATATTCACTTACGAGGCTCCATTCGGTATGATAAAATCTTTGATGCAAGTGGATGAGGGTGAGTTACGAGTTGCCTGGGAAATTCGGAAGGGGCGATGCGACATTTATATTTTAATAAATCGCACCCGTGTGCCCGTGATCATTTTCACCGCGTTCAATCACAGGCGCTGCCCACGGTGACGACTTGACCTATGAATTCTATTCGGACTATTTGAAAAATGTGCCGCAGCCTGGTTCCCCCGCGGAGAAGATGGTGCGCATTTATACCACGTTAGTGGCCAATTTCGCAAAGGACGGGTACGTCTCGACAATTATTGGTTACTGAATTAGTGACACGTACGAAAGGAGAATTGATTGTGATATTTTCAGGAACCCCACCTCAAATATGAATGAGTACGTGAACGTCGCTTGGGAGCCCAGAGGCGCGGAAGATAATTACATGAATATTAATCAGGAGTTAAAAATGGATAAAGGCATGCTGGGTGATCGAGTCGATTTCTGGAAGAACCTGTACACAAACGTACTCGGCTGAAGGTCTCTCGGCTTGCATCATGTCACGCGAACGCAATATAAATACAATATATGGGTTACATCGAATTTTAGAATCGGCAAAGTGCTAACGCATAATTGTTCTTACATTGTAATATGACGAGCAACATGTACAATATTATACGAACATTGCAAATCTAATGAAAATAAAATCTTAACCGAAGGTATTAGCAAGACGCCCCAAGTTTCGCCGTGAAAAGAGAGAGACGCCGCGAAGAGCAACGTGATCGATAAAGTCTGACCTGAATTATAAACCATCCAATTAGAGTCCGGCAATTACGTTTTCTAGCTTGATATCAATTGCCGCTGATATGTATACAGACAGTTATATCAACGATAGAACCGCGGCCTTTTCCCATTTCGTATTACGCACTCGCGTACTCGCGGCGAGTGCGAAGACGCTGAGAGAGAGAGAGAGAGACCTCGAGTCCGGATCTGAAATAGTGAAATTGTCGCGGGACGGAATGTTGATGCGACTCGAGTAAACTCTTAGCAGTCGGTTACCGGTCGAGATTGGCAATTTGTCGTAACCTGCCGTCCCTCCTCTCTTTCCCCGCCGCCGTTCTTTCTCGTAGCACGCGCTCGTACGTATCCTTCCACGTGGCGGTCGAGATATATCTGGTGGCGTGGTTAGTCACGCACGCACGGTCCCGCACGCGTTACCGTGCGCGCACAGCGATCCGCTAACTGACGTATCGGATGAAAGGAAAATTTATGCCTTGTCAGAGCGTTACGAGCCAAATGGTAACAAATAGGGCCGCAGCCGCCGCGCCGGCAAGAAACTCTTTTGTCGCGATCGCCCGCGCGCGCGCGCGCGGTACACCGTGAACAATTCGCGAATAATCGCACGAAATGAAAATTATTGCGGGCGGGCGGGCCGCCGTCGTTGCAGCTGTTGCTCGACCGTTCCGTACCGCCTATATCCTTTTTCATGCGGGACCGCGAGAAGTTTTCGTATAACGAGGTGAAGCCGCCGACGCTGCGAGTTCTCTAACGAAATTACGCGCTTGTTTCGGCGAACGAATAAGCGGCAACTTTTGCTCGCGATGTACGAGCGGGCTGGGGCGACGAAATGAATGGAGAACCGATGTACCGCGAGCGAGGCGGCAGCGCGTGTACGCCGATCCGCGCGAAATACGCGCTCTCTCTCTCTCTCTCTCTCTTTCTCTCCGACGTATGTACACGCACCGGCATAAATGCTGTCCCTATCCTTGTGAGGTGCACGCACACAACTAGAGTCCCTGTAGTTGTGTGCGTGCACCTCACAAGGATAGGGACAGCATTTATGCCGGTGCGTGTACAACGTCGCTGCAACTGCAACCTTGATACGGCCGGGCCGCCGTTCCGTCGTGTTTTATGACGTAATCAAAAGCGCAGCCGGCGGTGGACGTTGCGGGGAACGTTTCGCTCGTCGCGTCGCGAAATTTAACGCGGCTGCTGTTTTCAAGTACGCGGCAAGTTACGCGGAACGCGAGACACACGGGGGGCCACGGTATATTGATCGGCAGCGCGGGTGCAGTTTTGACTGCGGGACCCTGTGCGCGCGAATGCAATCGATCATCTCGCCACGGGCGAAGAAAGTCTGCACCGGTGCTGACGCGCCTGAATAAGCGATATTGTTAAACGGAGTTTTCATTCTTCACCGTCAATGGGATTGTAGCGCAATGATGTTGCTGTCTCTGCAGGATTGACCGATCGGAAATACCGGGAAATTGATGAGTCTTACGGGTTCTATAAAGCCCTCAACTTTCGTCTCAACAACTTAATGTCTCGTCTGCACGACGGCGAAGAAACGTATTCGCTCGCGCGCGCGAGAGGAAGCTTCAGCTCGCGTTTCCCTCGCCAACGCGCGCCCCCGACGTTCGCGGAAGCGGAGACGCGACGCGGCGTAAATGCAAAGCGAGACGATATAAATATGTCGCGGCAACGCTCGTCAATATCTTAATCTACTCCATTTAGCGGGCACACAAAGTTGCCGCGAACCCATTATCCCGGGTACCTCGGGCTTGGTATTCGCGATACGGCGCGCCATCCGAGCCCGTTATGCCCGTCTTAACAAGCGGACAAACTCGGTTTGACGATGCCATAATTCGCACAGAAATGCAAAGCGTACCGAGCTTGGCGACGACACTTGACGAGATAAGCGTGCTTATTTACGATGGTTTGCAATTTCGAAACGCGAACTTGTTCAACTGCCAGCCGGCAACGGCGAACTCGGGCAACTGGGCGACCCCGATGGCGAATTCGCCGAAAAGGATTATCAGCGTCGCGCCCCGGTCGTTACGACGGTGAATCGCGCGTGTGTTTCGCAACACTTCAGAGCGGCGATTCCGCCGTCTGGCCATGCGACCGTTCGCTACTCGATCGCGCGCCACTTTTAACACCGACGACTTCATGGGATTTAATTCGGGGCCGCGAGTATATCCCACTCGCGCGATCAGCCGACGGGGATTATGTATTAGTCACCGCGCTCTCAGACACTCGGCCCTTTACGTCGCTTAAGACGCGTGCATTCTAGCGTATACGCGCGGTGTGGAGTCCCAGACAAACATTTACGTTCCCAGCCCGCACGACCATTTCTCCTCCGTAATGCATCCGATCGCATTTGGATTAGTCCCCGATCTTTAACCGCACTGTGAATATTGAAATCCCTGGATCGTGTCGACCCAATTTAAGCGCCGGCTCTTGGCCTCATCCAATATCATAGGAGAATGCATAATCCGCGGAGATAGCGCGCGGTAGACCGAATTAGGTGACTCGCAACTCAAGTGGAAATATAATTTATTCAATGGCGCTATTTTTACACAAATTTCATGTTACAAATAAGCGACCCAATTTGTAATCATTACACAGTCGTGCGATGATTCTGCACGGAAATGGGGATAGAATAACGCGCGCGCGCGCTGAAATATCGCACAAGTAGCGGGCGAACAAAAGGGAATCCGTAACAAATCTGCAGACCGAAAGGAAATTAAAATGGCGCACGGTTCTCCCTCTCTCTCTCTCTCTCTCTCGCTGCCCTCCTTTTTTCGTATAAGTAAAAAAAACTTGGCTAAACCTTTGAATATGTTCAATGAATGCGCGCAACGACCGAGCAAATTTATTTTATTCGACTGTAATGCCGTGCACATCTTTCCTCGTTTCTTTTTTGTTCCTTTTAAATAATATGGCAATCGTATTTTTTCATATTCTTGCCCCCGAAAGGATTAGTCCGAACGAACGCTGAGGTTTTCGCGTTTCGCAAAATTGAAACGGCGCCGTGTAACAACTCGTATCCCCCTTTTGATTAATGTTACAGCGCCGCTCTCGTGACGCGTGGCGTCTTTGAAAGAACGACGCCGAAATCAATACCCGGAGAGTAACAGAATCCTCTTAGTGGATCATTATGGGGAGACCGTGCGGGTTAATGCGCGGTAAATTAGACACTGTCGCCGAACGATAGTTCCTGACAAATATGAGGGACAGTATGAAACAGCGCAAATGTTTGTACTGTATTACGACGCCGCCTACCACTCCCATTTCCGGCAATATGTGCGCGGGCGACGTGCACGTTTTAACGCTGGCGGCTCGCGTATCGCCATCAGCCTGGCAAACTAGGAAAAATGAAATGCTATTGATCCATTAACAACTTGATCAATAAATAATGGCGGCTTAACGATTCCCCATAATTATGAGTGGTAGCTTCGGCCGGGACGCGCGAGATTTACCGTTTGCGGCGTGCGCATTTTCATCTCTGCGACCGGCCTTTTTCGTACAAACGCGCGACGCTCGTTTGGCCTCGTGTTGATATATTTAAATTTTTCACGCAGCTAGGCTGATCGCGTATTCGATAAAAGAGTTGATAGCCATTTTACATCAGTGAATAATTTCTATCGACACTGCAGCAACTTATAAAATTTCTACGTAAATCTGTCTAATATCATAATGCGCAGATACGATGTTATATAATTCATATGATATTATAAGCGCCATATTGTATTCCACGTTGATGCGTGCAAACTGGTTCCATACGCAACACGTAATCGCTTATTATTTATACCGCGCGGTACCGACTGTTAGTTCGACGTAACGTTTAAATCCACGCTCTCGTCGATACAAAGTAGAAGGGGGGAAAACCGCTGAACAAAATCTTGTACGCCAATGCCCAATGGGCATTACTTTATCTCCTTTTATCTTATTCTAACTTTATAATGCCCCAGCAAGGCCTAATACCCAAACTAATGTCCAGTTAATGCCCAGTAATGCCGTAAATCTGTAGCACTACAATGCCCTCAGCGGTTTCCTTCTCAGCAGAAGCATAGTGTAACTAAACACGATAATCTCTTTAGGTTGCCAGTAATAAATAACAATGGATCAGTTTAGTCGAACTTAACTGGCACTTGTTTAATAAATTAAAAATTAAAAATATAACGTGCGACGTTTGGGTCCTTATCGAGCACAAATTCTTAAACGTTAATCGAGTCGTTGCAATATGTAATTGAACGGTAAAAAATTGTAACAAAATTGAGTCGTGATTATAAAATTAACGGCACAAAATAAAATATATACAATGTCTACCATGGCCGGAGAGTGACTGCCACTCTTGATGAGGGCCCAAACCCGTGGTCGAAACGTCGCACCTTATATTTTTTATTTTTAATTTATTAAACAAGTGCCAGTTAAGGTCGACTAAACCGATCCACTGTCATAGTATACCCACTCTCTGTCGGCCCTTCGATCTCTTCGGTTTTTGATCACGTGGTATTCCACCATTACTTTGGTGCGAATCGATTCGCACTACCACACTGAAAAAAATTTCTGGTTGAATATGGACGAATCAGATAATTCCTTTAGGATTTACCAGAATTCCTTTAGGATTTACCAGAATTCCTGTAATCCTACAGAAATTCTGGTAAATCCTAAAGGAATTCTGGTAAATCCTAAAGGAATTCCTGTAATCCTACAGAAATTCTGGTAAATCCTAAAGGAATTCTGGTAAATCCTAAAGGAATTATCTGATTCGTCCATATTCAACCAGAAATTTTTTTCAGTGCGGGCATAGTTATACTACGGTAGAAGGTCTACGGACGGACAATCGGACAACGCGTTCAAAGACAAGCAATTAATCGGCGCGTTAATCGTATCGTCGCGTTTTTTCCCCCGGTCGCGAGTCTCCGGGGCGCGCGGATAA